AAAAATGGCCGCTCCCAGACTCAGTGATCGTGATGAAATTGTTTTTTTATTGTTTTCCTGATTAACGCTAGTCATTAAATTCATTAAATTAATTAAATCACTACAAATGTATTAGTTTTAGGTATAAATAATGATCCATTGATCATTTTCTTTGCTGTTTTTCTTTTTAAGCAGGTGAAGCTGCACTTAAATGATCGACTGATTCCTTTTCTGAAGAAACGAAACTTGTTTTATTTAAATGCTATGTGGTTAATTCATAGTGGAGCAATTAAACATTATTTAAAAAGGCATCAGTTCTAGATTTTAATAAAATAATATAAAATAATACATTAAAAAATATAAGTAATATGTAATGATCTGTGGGTGATATTAATGTAAATTAGTTGATATAAACTCCAGAGCAGTCATATTTATATTTAATGAATCCATATAATATATGAGTTTAACTTTCTAAAACTTTCTAGTATTATTTTTACATTTTTCTCAGCATTTATATTTTTTTAGATGTTGCTGTAGTAAAGCGGCGCCTCCTGGTGGCTGGAGGTCCAAGTGTCAGACAGCTCAGCAAGATGAACCGCTGCATACTATCCTGCATCTTCCTGTTAAATGTGATGTTTTAAATAAGTTTAGGACTCAGGTCTCACTCTGTGGAGAGGAGGCAGGTGGGCCATTGCAGTCTTTCAGGTTGGTGACACACATACGTTCTGACTCGCATAGTTTCAGCTCAGATTCCTCCACTGTTATTTCTGTGAGATAAGAACACAAACATGTCTGTTAGTCGTCTTTAATATGATGAGACAGAAAGCTGAGAGCTGGCAGCACCACCTTCACCTGCTCCATCAGTGGTTTTCTAACTAACTTTATCAGTTTCCTGTCTGCATCATTGTGGGAAACTTAGACCCGACTCTTCTGTTTCGATGTTGCATCACTTGAGTTTTGCAGACATTTGTTTCTGCACAGCTTTTTTAAGAGTCCCAGCACAGGACTTTGACTGGACCGTTGAAGCTCCACTCTGTTGTCGGTCCGCTGATCGTCGTTTTGATGATGAACCGGTTTGGACCAGGGGTCAGATCTGGTCTGGGAGCTTCATGATCCGTCAGTCCTGCTAAATAAAACCCTTACAGCCGCTGATGATTCTGGAACTTGTTTAAGAATGAGCACATTTTATAAACCACCATATTATTTATATTATGATGTTATTTCCTATGTTCCAGGAGAATCTCCTGTTCAGTATTAAACTAGCTGAAACAATGAATCTGATCAATTGTGTTTAATTGATTAATGAAAATAATCATCAATTAATCGTTAACTGGAGTATAGAGACTCTAAAACATGCATTTAGCAGACAGAGTGACCCTCTTAGAGCAGGAATTATACAAAAATTGTAAAAAAAAAAAAAAACAATGTATAAACATTTTGCATTTAAGATAAAAAAAGGTTTTTATCTGTCAATCCAGAACTCCCCCTTTAATTTATTTAAAGCCTTCTTTAAAGAACCTTTGCTATCCAATTATGAATCGATTTGCAAAATAATCGTTCATTGCCGCCCTAAAACTAGTACGTGTAAAAAGACTAAAAGAGAAATAAAAACGGCAAAAGTTAAATTAAAGTCAGTGAAAAAAAAAATAAAATGATTTAAGATAAAAACAGCTTTCCTTTAAGAACGTTTTTCAAACAGCAGAGTTTATGTTTAAGGAAAATTAAGGTTAAAAAGACTCAAAGTTTCCATCATAATGAAAGAAAAACTATTTCTGGTACTTTCAGTTTTGTTCTGTAGAAAAAAAAATCAATGCAGGGATTTTTTTAAAATGCTTTAAACCTGCATTTGATGTAAAACTTTTGTTCTTTATCACTGAGACCCATTCTGGAAGGTCCAACGGGCCACTGGTGGCCCCCGAGCCACAGGTTGGACCCTCTAAGACAGATGGACTCTACTGAACTTTCAATACATCAATTAAAAATGTGGAAAATTAGCAAAGATCAAGAAACCTGCAGCTTTAAAGGATCTGGATCAGTTTTCTATGTTTAATCTTCTTCAGATGAAGGTAAAAAAAAATGTTCTGAGGAGGAATTTATTGCTGAACTCACCGAGAGAAACCACAGCCTGGCGGCTCATCAGGGCCCAGAGGGCCAGCAGGAGCCTCAGAGAGGAGAGATCCATTTGGAGCTGCTACCAGGAGACAGAGGAGCTTCTGCCTGCTAGAGGAGGCGGGTCTCACCTGAAGCTCCTCAGGCTGAAACTGCTGAGAAAATGACTGCAATTCTGTAGAAGTGATGGCCTCACCACGCCCATGTTCTCACTTCCTGCTGAGGAGGCA